ACACTAAACGTTCACTCTCGCTGCCTCCTCTCATGTGCCATCACCACGGCAACATGATGAACACAATATGAACATAAACACCAAAAAAGGATTACTGTCAGAAGAATATCATTATAATTCGAAAGATAGCAGGTAAAGGATGTCAGAGGTGGGCAGTAAAAGTGATTTTTTAAAAATAAAACTGAGATGCTGTCACATCCTGTCGCTGATGATTCTGCCCCTCCAGGAGATGGTGGACCCCCTGTCAGACTGCAGCCCCCTCATCAGTGCAGCGTCCTCGGGGAAGCTCCGTCTGGTTCGCCTGCTGGTGGAAGGTGGAGCTCAGGTGAATGGACACAACCCCAGCGGAGAGACGCCTCTCCTGGCCGCCTGCAAGGCCCTGAGAGGGGAACCTGCTGGACCCGACTCTCTGAGACTTCTCACATACCTGCTCCAGAACAAGGTCAGTCTGCTAATGACTAATATTTACCATTTAAACTGAGAACACACACACTTATATGTAACCCTCTGTGCCTGCATTCAACAGGTTATTGATTTAGGTGTGTTTCTAATGCATGAAAATATCCGTACCTGCTCTAAGAGAGGTGTTGTTTTAATGCATAGTAAGCAGGTTCCTCCTCACGTTCCCGATCCACCAAAGTGTTCGGCACCATGGATCACAAAGCAGCTCCTTTGAGGTGCATTATGAGTCTGTTTCATTAAGTGTGTCCTCGTTCAAGAGCCACAACTCAACAGCAGCAGATCAGCTCTCATTAAGAGGCCATTAGGCAAATTACCTGTAATTCTACTAAAGTTGGGTTTCTCATCTCCACAAAAGAACAAACACACAGCTGACTTCTCTAACTGATTCCTAATTCACACTGGACCCAACTGTCACATTCTGACTGACTGTACCAGGCGGATCCTAACGCCCAGGACCGGGCCGGCCGTACCGCTCTGATGTACGCCTGCATGGAGCGAGCAGGAGCTCAGGTGGCCTCCGCCCTGCTGGCTGCAGGAGCCGACCCCAGCATGGAGGACCACTCCGGAGCCTCGGCGCTGGTCTACGCCATCAACGCACAGCACCAGCCCACGCTGAAGGTCAGTCAGGAGGGAAGAAACCAACCATCTGAGAACACCTAAATGAATACACTTTGTGAATGGCAGACATTGTTTTATTATTGGTTGTCCTGATGCATAAAAATGTGTTTGCAACAAACAAATATCGCAAAGCAAACAATAGTTCTGCAAAATTCAAAATCTTGCATTTTGATTGTGTAACATGATATATAAGGATGAGCAGCTGTGTTTTATTGCTGCCGTGTCAAGGTGGAGTTAGTTTAATTCAACAGTTGTACAAAAGTTTTAGATTATCTTAATTTGAAAATAAAATCATAACTATACTGTAAAAAAAGTGTAAAAACTGATTTCAGCTGAATTACACAGTAAAACAGTGTTATGTTTTAAAAATTTGTTTCACACATTGTTAAAAAAAAGACCACTATGTAAAAATACAGATGTTTACTGTGGACATTATTTATTATTTTATTCAGTTTAGTTTTTTTCACAGTGGTATTATTTAAAACTTTTTTGTATTTATATTTTGACTATTATTATTATTATTTTTTAATCCTTAATGTGCAGAATTTTTCTATGAAATAGCAGCAAATTTCTAAATATCAGATTTAAATACAGTAAAAAAAATAGTGTCATTTTCAATCCTTCGTTTTTTGTTTTTTTTTACAGTTAACATGGAAATCAATACCTTTATTCTGTGATTTGACCAGTTATCTGTAATTTAGCAAAAATCTGTGAAACAACAGTAAACTGTTCAAACATTACAGTGAAAAACTGTTGAAAAATTATTATTTCTGAGGGTGTAAAGCTGTCAAACAAATAGAAGAAATAGTATATTTCCTTCTAACATGTAATCAAGTATAAAGTCGTGTAAAAATAAAAATACGCAATTGAAGGCAAGCCACCAACATTTTTCATGAAGTGGAAGATTTGAATGTCTCAGGATGCTTCAGAGGATTTTTGTTCTAACAAATATGGCAGAAACCTTTTAGATCATCATTATAAAAACAGTCAAAATGTATTAAAACCTTAATATCACTCAAAGAGCATCAGTATGAGACGCCTTCAAAACCTCCCAAGACTTTGTCACATCCCATCAGTACCTCACCATCACTCATACCTCAGGTTCTGATGGACGCCTGCCGGGCCAGAGGTCGTGACATCATCATCATCGCCACGGAGATGGGTGTGAACGGCGGCCCGGTGACCAGGCGCTACCTGAACGTTCCCCCGTCACCGGACACCTCGCCGGTGTCCTGCATGTCTCCATCCGACATCTTCCTCAAGACGGGTTCCCCAAACTCCCCCGAGGGCGAAAACATCTTCAACTTCAGAGGAACAAGTGAGTCACGCTGATTGCATTTAACAAAGTAAACACACTTGTATAACCTGGATTAGTCATGTTACAGTGTTTTTACAACACCAAGCAGCATTAATCAGGATATAGGATGAATTACAATAAAGACTTTGCCCATTTTTTACTTGTGTACGCTGGTGACAGTGCACAACACCTCACATGTTAGTGGGTGAAGAAAACAAATTCATGCAAGTTTCAAGGTTATTAAGCTCTTAAATATCAAAAAAAAAAATGACTGCATCTTGAATGTTAGAAACGGCATTGACAAAGTTAGCTTAACACCTTCTAAACCTGACTGCTGAATTCCCAGTCATGTGCAGATGTGCAAAGTGATTTCATTGTTGTGGGTTGTACAAGTTGCAACTGAGTGCCTTTCTGACCACACCCAGCCGCTCTGCTCAAAGACAGAACAGGTATTAAACTTTCAATCAGATACATATTTCAGCAAAACCCTGTTTTTCATCCTGGTGTTGAATTTAGTTTAAACCTTTTGTGTTTAATACGAGCAGGACTGTGCAGGAGGCTGTTGTGCACACGTGACTGGCTGCAGCGAGGTTTAGAATAAACACATGCGCTACACTTCCTATATCTGAAACTCCAGCTGCATGCTATCACAGGTGAGTCATGTCTCAGGTAGATGTCCGTCTTGCCCGTCTGGAATTTGCAGTTGTTTCTCTGTGAGGAGAGTTTGTTTTCTTCTGCTCACCTCCGCAGGTTGATGGAGCGTTAGCAGCTCCTCTGTGCACACAAGAAGACGCAGTGAAAAGAAAACAGATTCACAGGGAGAGAAAAAAAAGAGAAAAAGTCACCAACAGGCATAAATTCTGCCTGAACACACCTGTGGCTCTTCTAAGGCTACTTGAGGCAACCTAATAGTAGGTAGGATGTGTTCAGCATCGGTACAAATGTGGTCAGCAGTGAGTCCCCAGTTCCATTTTTAAGGCATTTTCCTGCTCGCTCCCTCTCCATGTTCTCTGCATAGCTCCACTGCTTCTATGAAAATAACAGCAAAATCCCACATTTTAAAAAATCACTTCTGTTTAGTGACTTATTGAAAGTTTTACCTGAGATAAAGGCAAGAAGTGATGAGATTCTGAGGAAGAAAAGCAGATGTAATGTATTTTCATCCTTTGATTTTACCCAAAACTATTGAAAGTCTGTCTTATCGATCCATCCATTATCTACACACCGCTTAATCCTCACTAGGGTCATGGGGGGCTGGAGTCTATCCCAGCTGACTCAGGGTGAAGGCAGGTTCACCTGGACAGGTCACCAGTCTATCACAGGGCTACACTTAGAGACAGACAACCAAGCACACTCACATTCACACCTACGGACAATTTAGAATCACCAATTAACCTCAACATGTTTTTGGACTGTGTGGGAGGAAGCCGGAGAACCCGGAGAGAACCCATGCTGCACGGGGAGAACATGCAAATGCATAAAGATCCCTTGAAAGATCCCACCAGGACACGAACTGGCGACCTTCTTGCTGCGAGGCAACAGTGCTACCAACTGTGCCACCTTGCAGCCCAAGTCTGCCTTATTTTTTTTTAAAAATCAGATCTTTAAATGGTAAAAATAGATTTCCACTGATATCACTTGACCAGCAGTGTGGCTGCAGCTCCGTAGCCACTTCCCTTCCTGCCCTAATGTCTGCGGTATGTGAGATTTATACTTAAAAAGGTGACAGCACGCAAAAAAGCAACAACAAAAAAAAAGCTCATTACACTTTCAGTTCCTACATCACATCTGTGCACACTCCTCATTCAAGAATCCACTTCCAGACGCAATCTGCTCATTTTAATGTTATATATACGCACACAAATATACATAAAGCAGCTCTGTACAACATTCTGTGGAGCCACCTTGATGCAGAGGTCAGTACCTTCTGTATGCAGACAGTGTGCTCTTCCTGCATAAACTCCAGCAGAGCAGCGTTTAACAAAGGCAAGTCTGGACAGATGAGGATAGATGCCGTGTGGTTGAAATCATTAGCTGCGTGCTCATTCCTGAGGAGAGAAAATGAAAATATGTTGGCGAGGTGAGGCGAGGCAAACCCCGCGACAGGAGAAGCTTCGTTTCTTGCACAGGAACCGACACTTAATTCATATTATAGAGACAAAGTCATTGAAGGCGGGTAGTTGTTGGAGGAAAGGTGTGAGGATAAAAGATGGACTGGGGAATACCTGGCTGTGCAAGATGAATAAATTCAGAATATAAATGGCTTTGCGAGCAAGCCAGAGCAAATGTGTATGGATGGTGATGCTAACCAGTCCTTCTTCTTTAAATATGTCAGCAGCCAATGGATGGATTGTCATTAGAAGATGAACTCCGTTTACTTTGATGGTCCTATGAATTATACCAACATGCTGATGTCTGTGGTCTCACAAACGACCAGATTATTATGACACTCCAGGCTTTTACGCAACTGGAAAGTGACCCAACTTCCACAGAAGCAGGTTGTAGAGACTTGATAAAAGGTGTTTTTATCTACAATATATTTACAGGTCTAAGAAGATAGATTTAGATTCAGGGTGGCCAAAGTAACAGTCAAAGGAAACATGACCGAAATCAACCAACCAAATGACAAGAACGTATCTATGTAAAGAGGAGAACATAGAATGTTTTGCCTTCCTGCTCATGCTACAGATCAGCAAATCCATCCCTACAGTAAAGGCTACAGGTGGACACAGTGGATATGAAAGAGGCTGATTAAGAGAAGAAATAAATGANTCCTCTCTGCCTTTGCTGTGCTCCTAACAGCTTTGGTAAATTGCTTTTTTTTTGTTTTGTGGCTTTGGAAAGCTCCTTTGGTGACTTATGAGGCCACTCTGTCTGGTCAGGTGTGATTCGCCTCCACACAAATCCATTTGGATTTTGTGCTCCTTTTGGCTCTTGGCTTTGGGAATCGATTGAATACGGTTCTAAAAATTCAGCTCCTGTTTTCAGCGTGTTAATAATTTATGAATATAAGTCTGGTTCCTCCTGTTAGCGGTGGAAGACGCTGCATATATCGTGTGAAATGTTCTTGAAAGACTCGCAAGAAATGCTGCTTCGCTCACACATGCTGCTGAACAAGTTATGGATGCAGAATAAAATGGATCAGTCTTGCTGCTTCTGCTCATTGCTAATTGTGTAAACTCCAACTAATTGTGGTTGGACTTAATTGCACATCAGGTATTTGGTGTTTGCTGGTATGATATGTGGAAATGTGCTCTTGCAGCAGGACGGCGCTTTGCAGAGAACAAAAACCCAGAAAAACACAAAAGAAAGAACAAATGCACGACAAATTCTCAGATACAAATGATCTGCTCTGAGCTTCGGTGTGTGTGCGTCCGTGCATTTGAATTTCCATGCGCCTCATCTTTCTCTCTGTTTTTCGCTGCCAGTGTTTGAACGCAGATGGTGGTCACAAGGCAGATGAGAACTGTTCAAAGCTGACTCATATCAAAGGACCTCTGGCTCTTTGTAGTGCAGCGTTTGCAACAGGTGACATTTTGGGGCTCGGAACCGTTTAGAAGTTTAGAAACGCTCGCCGTGGGCCGAAGCCTCCCCTCGGCCCAGCGGGTAAGGAGAAGGACCGAGGAGTTACAGAGGGAGGAGATGAAAGTTGGCGTGCTCTCACTTCATGTTCTGCAGTTTGCTGCGGGCCGCTGACATGAGGACGCTTCATCCGAAAAACAAGATAGACGTTTGAAAGGATCAGAAGTAAAGAAAAAAAAAGTGTGAATAGGCTCAGGATGACTGCTTTAGTCTTGTTTTTTAGAGGAAGAACAGATAAATAAGCAGTGAGAGGGATCATCACAGTGAGTATTGTGCTTAAATGATCATATGGATGCTGTTTATAACGACTACATTCATTTTTTAAACCTGTTGTAGTGACATTATTATATTTATGTGTTATTTAAATGGACTTGAATGTAATCTGAGTGACAGGAGCTGATGTCTGTCTCTAGTTTTGACTATTTTTTTTCTTAATTAAACATTGTCGTGATAATTTGAAGATGGAAGCAGACAAATAAAATCCATCTAAACTTGTTTCAGTAGGTTTATTATTTACTTCTTGACACAGTGCTGGACAGTTTAATCTAGAATCTAAACATGTGCTTGTGGATTATATCTGGCATTATTTATCAGAATCTGCAAAGCAACTGTAAAAGCTTTAAGACACATGTTGCAGAGGGAAAAGTCTAATATTTGCCTTTTAAATGTAAAGTGTGATTTAAAATTTGATTGTAAAATTTTAATGCAACTGTGAAAAACTGTTTAGTGGCATTTGAGATCTGTAATATTTGTTTGTAATTTAAATGTAATTGAATGTGCACTTATAGGTAACATCTGTCACTAGTTTTGTCTCATTTTTATTTATTTATTTTTTACCGTTTTACTGAGAGTTTGAGGAAGACGACAGAATGATCGACCCGACTTCAACATATTTTAGAGTTTATCTGAACATATCACGCTTTCAGAGAATATTTTGGTTGAATTTTTGTAAAATATTAAATCAAATCAGATTTATTGTCATTTTGCTGTACATACACAGAAGTACAGGCGAGATGTGTTTCTTTAGGATCATTTAATTAGTAAGTTCTGCAGAACACACGTCTGGGATGGAAACACTAAACGTTCACTCTCGCTGCCTCCTCTCATGTGCCATCACCACGGCAACATGATGAACACAATATGAACATAAACACCAAAAAAGCATTACTGTCAGAAGAATATCATTATAATTCGAAAGATAGCAGGTAAAGGATGTCAGAGGTGGGCAGTAAAAGTGATTTTTTAAAAATAAAACTGAGATGCTGTCACATCCTGTCGCTGATGATTCTGCCCCTCCAGGAGATGGTGGACCCCCTGTCAGACTGCAGCCCCCTCATCAGTGCAGCGTCCTCGGGGAAGCTCCGTCTGGTTCGCCTGCTGGTGGAAGGTGGAGCTCAGGTGAATGGACACAACCCCAGCGGAGAGACGCCTCTCCTGGC